TGTGACAGGTGGGTGTGGCAGGAGGGTCTGATTTTCTCTTTGATAGCTCTGTGACCAAACAGTATTAAAGGCTATAAAAATTATGGTCTGTTTGAGCAATAACAATTTTATAGAGAGCATTTTACGTTTAATTTCGTACATTTTCGAGGGGTGATAGATAAAAAAGGAATGATGACATGTTAAGACAAAATTTGTCATGTGTGTTACACTAGTGGAAATTCAGTATTTTTTCATATATTTCCTTTTAGAATTAAGAACTTAAAACTTGTATACTATTAAAATATGGATTATTAGCTAAGAAAATATGCTATTTTAATTGGTATGACATAAACAAAAAGTAGTTTAATAAAATGTTGAATGTAAGACACTAAAACCTAGTGTCATGCACAGTAAAGGGTATCCGTGCCAGTAGAGTTAAGGGAAAAATAATACTGTAAGATATATATATATTTTAACTATTGAAGATTTATAGTTTTGAAATTACAAAATTCTCAGGGTTTTAATGAGAGGACTTGGAGCCTTTTTCATCCAAAGAAAACTGGACCCTCATAAAGGAAAGAAGGACAGAGTCTATCGTGCCATTCTCCATTCGGTGAGTTAATATGATTTTTATAGTTGTTCATGACATGAGCAAATTTGTATGTTTTTCAACATGATCAGTTGTGAAGCTGTGATATGAAAATACAATCTTTAAAGGCTTAGTACTAAAGGCTTTCATATAATTAAATCCAATGAATATGATATTTTAGATTATAGAATAAAATATTTTGAAAAGTCATTGCATTGGGTTACTGGTTTCTGTGGGTTTCACTCAATTAATTTTAGGAAACAATTGTAACTTCTTGCACTTATATGAGATTATCAGAAATTTACACTTTTCTTTCTGTTATCTCAGTATATGTCAGAAAGTATGCGAGAAGGTCATAGTCTCGAATTCTTCATTGAAGGAGGAAGAACTCGGACTGGAAAAGCTTCTTTGCCCAAAGCTGGTTTGTTGTCTGTGGTCGTGGATACTGTTAATGAAGGTAGGGTTGTAATGTCATGCAATAGTCTCTTGTAATTTTTCTAGTAAGATTTTGAAAGACAACTATGTTATGTATTTAAAAAAGTACACATGCTAGTTCTTGTATATATATTGCATATCATGAAATCAAAATGTATTACTTATTTTATTCAGATTTTTCCTTTGCTGTTTTTTGTGCTATGTCAGTATATAATTACTATGGATCTACTTTGTTTCTTTTCAAGTTATAATGTTGTGTCAGAAATATATTATCATAGAGTGCTTAGTTTGTTTTTTAAAGTTAAAGTGTTGTGTCAGAAATGTATATATTATATACCTATAAGTAGGCAGGAAATATTCTGCTAAATTAACCAAATTGTTATTGTTATTCTTTTAAAATCAGGGATTGTAGAAGATGCCTATATTGTGCCTGTTGGTATCAGCTATGAGAAAATAATGGATGGCAACTTTGTTCTAGAACAGTTAGTAAGTACTATTAACTTCATGAATCTTTAGGTATGGTACATTTTACTTATTTTATGAATTAAATAAGATTGTATAACCCTTTTACAATTGGCTCATACTATTTACAGAATGCTGTATCAGGAATTTCACTTGTGCAATAATACATTTTGTTAAAGATCATAAGTATCTAGTGCACAAAGAATGACATTATTATAATTAAGTGTTTTTGTTAAAAATATGTTATTTGTCTATTGTAGTTACTCGCACTCAAACTCTTAATAAATAGAGCGCAAAGTGATTATCATTTTAAGTATAAAAAATGTTTTTCTTCGTCTTGTAGTTTTCATATTTCCTTTGTATAACTTCTAGAACCTCCTAAATGAATAGTTTTTTAAAGTAAATGTTTATATTTTATTTTTCATTTTCTCTACCATATCACTAACTCTAGCTGTTATCATCAAGGTACAATGCAATGAAATGTTTACAATTAGGGAAATGAAAAAGTACCTACCTTTAAATTTTTTGTAGAATATCCTTAAAGATCTTTTGGTTATATAAGGTCTTTTCCTTTTCACATCTAGTTAATTTTTATTGTTTTCTTTTCCTTTCTTGTCCATTACTATTTATTATTCATCTTCAAGTTAAGGGTGCCCTCTGGGTATATTACAGTATCTCTGGCAGAGATTCACTACCCCTCGGCAAAACTTTCTTGCACTGCATAATATCGTAAGCCTTGAGAACTGATGCAAAGTATAATATGTATTTTAAAAATGTTTAAACTATTCAATTATGCATTTTAAAACGTAAGTAGGATACAATTAACTAAAATATATAATTAAGACCGAAATACAATTTAACTGTATCTCTAACTATAACATATTTAGATAAAGAACAACTGTAAATGCTATAGTCAATCAAGCAGCCAATACTACTACAGATAGTCACGTGTACCCCGTGGTGAAAACTATACACCAATTTCAAAATACCCATTGTTGGATTATAGTGTAAAATGATCTCTTTATAATGACCATATACATGCATATGTAACCTCTACATGTAGGCTATAAAGCTCAAACAAATCTATTGAAGATGGGTGTGGCACCAGTCAGGGGTTGACAAAATGTATTTGTTTCCACTGCATTCGTTCAGAAAACACTGAAATGTGTGAATAAAGGTCAAGTAAATGTCTTATCATCTAGACGTACATCCACACAACCGGTATTGTATTATTGAAGATACAGAGTGACAAAGTAGAGAAATTTCATAGCTTGTGGGTCACATGGCAATACATCTGATTGTTTTTAAAGGTTTCTGTTGAAATTAAGGACTTAAAACTTAGATAACATACATTATAATGTTAATTTTATTCACATAAATTGATAGTAAAGGTGTTTAATTAAATTTTGAATTGTTATTTTCCAAAGAAAGAAGTTTAATTATAATTATGATCTGTAGTACAATTTTTTTGTATTAAATTTTACATTGTAAAAATGTTACAAACAGTTACCTGTCTTAAATGAAAAATTGAAATATTTATTAAAAAAACAGGATTTTAATTTTTGTCACTAATTTTGTTAACTAGGGTAAACCCAAGATTATGGAAGATTTCAAGCATGCTGTGAAAGCAGTTTGGCGTATTTTCCATTCTAATTTTGGTTCTGTTAGAGTTGACTTTTGTCAGCCCTTCTCTTTGAGAGTGAGTTTCATATATTTTAATCTTTTTTTAATGGATGTTTCACTGTATGTTCAGTGATTTTAGGCTAGGATTATCATTATTTCAGAGTGATTTGCTAAATTTATATTGCTTATTTTACCAGTGAGGTATTTCACCTTTCAGATATTTAACAATTCCTTTTGTCAGTGTTTTAGAGTTACTGAATTATGTAAATAATTTTCAAACATGTAATAGCATAATATTGTTTGTTTTGTTTCTGTCTTTTTTTTTTTTACAGTTAGTAAGTTAGCAAGGAATTGCCCTCTAAAAAAATCCCTCAAACCAGAAACACTTAAATGTATTGTATATTTTTTCCTACAACTTCTTAACAGACTCTCTAAAAAATTTAACTTCTCTCATTTTGTAAAACATTTTTTAAACTTTATTTTGTATTATTCTAAGCATTATTCGGTGATGAGGAACTTGTACCTGATAATGACAAAACCTTGTCGAAACGTTGAACATTTGCTGTTATGTTAAACTTATATTAAAGTTTTTCTTCATTACCCATTCAAGCCATCTCCAGCCATTATTAATCTAAGCATTATGTTCCATAATTTGCCAAACCAAAAAAAAAATTTTTTTTCATTGTCTGTGATTAGCTTTAACTGATTACTACTACATTTTCCTGTTGTTGTTTTTTTCAATTTATTATGCAGTTAGTTTTATTTTTGGCTAGGGATAAAATTAGATAGTAGTAAAGAATTGGTGCAAAAGTTTTTAAATATTTACTTTGGAGGGTTCATAGCTTTCAAAATGTTTCCAGCACTTGTGAAATTCATTTGCATTTATGCTTGTTTATGTTAACAGGCATAAATGCAAATGAATTGTGCACATGACTTATAGAGGGATGTTTGAAGAAAATTCTATGTCTGGATCTAAATGTCAGAAATCTTGAATAGTTCTTAATTAAGCTATTTTTTCAAATGCCTTTCTGTAGTATTAAAAATGTTTTTTGTGGTTATTTTGTTATAAAATAATAAACAGCTGTTAAGACCTTTCTTCTTGGAGCAGGAATTCCTTAACTCATCAAAGAAGTTTCAAATGAATCTTTCCCCTCAATCCTTGGTTTCTGTTGATCGTCCACTTCGCTCGACTCCAACAAGTGGCTTACTATATGGTACGGATATTGTAGTTGAAGATTATCGCCAGGTAGTAAAGGCTCTAGCAGAACATGTTGTATATGGTAAGTTAATGTGTGTTTTTTTTTTCATAACACTTTGATCCTGATTTTATGTACAATTATTAATGTTTCTCGAATCTAACTTTGATTTTTTTTCTCGTATTGCATATTTCATGGTTATTTTTTATGCTTTATTTCAAACATACCTTTCATTTTATGGATGAGGACATATTTTCTTCATGTCAGTTTGTTATGTTTTTGCTTTATTTGTTCTCTACTTCCATGATTCTGGGCATATTTCTTTTAATTTTTTGGTTATTTGTTCACCTTTGTATTGTTTTCAGATTACTAAGTATAATTTTTCAGTTTCAATTTTAATCATTTTTTACTTAACAGCATTTTGGAAATTGACAACAACAGTTATGTTTTGGTTTAACCTCAGCTGAGATTCATTTTGCAGTTGATGTGTTTATTCTAGTTTTTGTATTTTAGTAATGGACATTTTATTAAAATTCATCTTTGTGTGTGTGTGTGTGTGTGTGTGTGTAAAAGTT